GCCTTCCCTTCCTTCCTTTTAAAAACTAAACCAAGCCAAAGCAGTTCTCATTCACTCTCTTTTTCTGTTTGTTGTTGTTAAAAGGATGTTTTTCGAAATTTGAGCCACTTGCCTACCTTTAGTTCACCTGCTATTGAAAGTCACATTCATCGCATCGAAGGGCTGTCCCAGAAGTTTATTTACCTAAATGATGATGTCATGTTTGGGAAGGATGTCTGGCCAGATGATTTTTACAGTCACTCCAAAGGCCAGAAGGTGAGTGCCTAAGAGGAGGGGAGATGTCTAGTGTGGAAGTCAGTTAGCAAATCAGAAAATCAGTGCACATACTACTATAGTCAAATATCAAACAGGTCAGGCATGGTGGCTCACACCTGTAATCCCAGGACTTTGGGAAGCTGAGGCAGGTGGATCACTTGACCCTAGGAGTTTGTGGCCAGCTTGGGAAAGCGAGACCCCTATCTCTACAAAAAGTAAAACAATTATCTGGGCATGGTGGAATACTCATGTAGTCACAGCTACTTGGGTGTAAGGGGTTGTAGGGAGAGTGGGGGTCACCAGCTAAGATGGGAAGAGATTGCTTTAGCTTGAATGTTGAGGCAACAGTGAGCTGCGATCACACCACTGCACTCCAGCTTGGGTGACAGGGTGAGAACCTGATCTCAAAAAATAAAATAAAATATATATAAGCAAATAATCATTTTCAAGTGCTAAGCTCAGAAGTTAACAATGAAGAAGCGAGAACACCACAGTTAGAAATTTGCTTTCCGACATTCTTAGACACTCAGGACCCACACTTTTTTCCCAACCATCTACATTTTCTACTACTATTATAGCAGAAAAAGCAAAATCACTGAAACAAAATAATTTTTAGAATGTCAGCAAAATAGAAAGTTAAGTCAGTGCTTAAAGCCATAGATGAAATTTCATTTAAGGCAGGCTATCATACTCTAACTTTGTTGAGAGGTGAGATGGAGAAGTTATTAAGAGTGCAGACAGGCCAGGGCGCGGTGGCTCAAGCCTGTAATCCCAGCACTTCGGGAGGCCGAGGCGGGTGGATCATGAGGTCAAGAGATCGAGACCATCCTGGTCAACATGGTGAAACCCCGTCTCTACTAAAAATACAAAAAATTAGCTGGGCATGGTGGTGCGTGCTTGTAATCCCAGCTACTCAGGAGGCTGAGGCAGGAGAATTGCCTGAACCCAGGAGGCGGAGGTTGCGGTGAGCCGAGATCATGCCATTGCACTCCAGCCTGGGTAACAAGAGCGAAACTCCGTCTCAAAAAAAAAAAAAAAAAAAAAGAGTGCAGACATGGGGGCCGACACTTCAGGATGACCCTCGGCAGTGGCTTTACCTCTATTTTCTGTCTGCATAGTGGAGAAAATACAAACACCCTTGTAAAGAGTTCAGTGATAAGTTAGACTTATCACCGTAAACTTGTAAGTTCTAAAACTCTGTAAGTGCGAGTAACACAAAACTACTTTCTCTGTTACTGTTTATGCTACTTGACCGAGCTCATTGTCCTTTTCCCTTATTGACTTATCTCCTCTGTATCAGATTGTAGGGCTCAAAGTTGGGCTTGTGCCTTAACAGAGGGACAAACACAAGATCAGTGACTGTGCAGTGCTTTTCCTGGTGACAGGTGTGCCTTGCTGCTGAAGAGTGTGAGCATAGGAGGCTTAAATCAGATGGGAAAGGGAAGAACGCCCATCTGAATTGTCACGTACTATGAAGAACAAGTAAGAGTTTAGGTGAAAAAAAATTCCGATTAGAACATGCAAAGGCACAGAGATTTTTAAAGAGGAGTGTATTTTTTTTTCAATGATTTTGATTTAAAAAGAAACCATGTGCCCTATCACTGATTTTGAGAGCAGGTGAATGCACAGCTCAGAATGCTGTGCTGGTTAATGTATCATGGGGCCTTATGCATGAAGAGAGAGGATATTGTCTCTCAGCCTTGAGACAAGATCATGCCCAAATACACTGATGAGCTACTGATTGTCATTACAGAAAAGCAGTAACCTTGCATACTTCCCACCAGCTTTGACATGCTTTAGTACTTGCAGTTAAGTCTGGCTTGGTGCTACTTTATTTCATAGTAGATTATCAAAGCATGTTGCGGGAGACTAATCCATGAGTTGAATCCTTATCTGCTTCCCTTGAGTAATAGAAAAAAAGTAAATATGTTCAGTAAGAACTGTCAGCACAGCAAGATCTAAACAATGACTATAAGTACAGGCAAGCTTAAAGCAATTGTGAATTTGTGAACACTCCACCCTTGGAAAATATTAACCTTTTTAGAGAGTCAATTTCTTTTTATAAAGGGAATCTTAAGAATAAAACATCAGAAGCCAGAAGTCGTTTATTTTCTCTTTGTTTTTATCTTAGGTTTATTTGACATGGCCTGTGCCAAACTGTGCTGAGGGCTGCCCAGGTTCCTGGATTAAAGATGGCTATTGTGACAAGGCTTGTAATAATTCAGCCTGCGATTGGGATGGTGGGGATTGCTCTGGTAAGGATGTATTAAACTGTAATTCGTTCATTTAATAGATTTTGTTTCTTCTTAGTCATTATTAAACATGTACTATAGACTTAACCAAACATTCTTTATGTATTAATAAACAATCAGTAATGCTGAGCATGGTGGCTTATGCTTATAATCCAGTCCTTTGCAAAGCTGAGCTGGGAGGATTGCTTGAGGCCAGGAGTTCAAGACTAGCCTAGGCAGCATATTAAGACCCCATCTCTCTCAAGAAAAAATTAGCCAAATGTGGTGGCGCACACCTGTAGTCCTAGCTACTTGGGAGGCTGAGGCAGGAGAATTGTTCGAGCCTAGGAGTTTGAGACTGCAGTGAGCTGTGATTGTACCACTGCACTCCAGCCTGGGTGGCAGAATGATACCCTGTCTCAAAAAAAAAAAAAAAAAAAAAAACCAGAAATCAGTAGACTCTTTGGAGGTGGTAATTAGTGCTCCCATGTGGCCCAATTTATTCATATTATTCATTGTTGAGGGCATTGAACATGAGAAAATACACTTGAAAATGTCTTCTAATTTAAAATATAAAAATCTGGAATATACGTCATTATATAAACCCAAGAGCAAGAATCACTCTAACTGGTTCTTATGGGAGCGCACTGCTGGTAGCTTTCAGCAGCAGATTGTGATAGGTCACAGAATGACTAAAGAGTTGCAAAAGAAATGAGTATTTTCTCTCTTCAGCAACTCTTCTCCCTCCTTCACATACTTATGTTTTGACTTGTCAATAATAGTAATTTGTTACATTTGCTTACTGCCTTTCAATTTATGAAGCATTAAATTTATAGAGCATTATTCATCATATTCACTTGAATTTTCTTTGTCACCTGAGAGAGTATGTACACAAATGTTATCATTCTCATTTCTATATGGATTTGGAAGTGTTTGAATATTGGAGGAAACAAAGCTTCAAGTTGTATTTCAGTCAGATGTGTTGGATTCACTTTAGCTGCAGAGAAAGAATACAGATATTCAAAGTAGATCTGTGTAGACCAGACAAGTCAGTCTCTACTAGAATGTTAGCATTTGATAACGAGGGGTAGCAAGCATGATACCCACGTGTTTTTGGCAGTTCACAAACTTGAAATAATCTCTTCTTGTTTTTTGTGCTCCTCGGACATTTCTGTCAGCACATGCCCCTTCAGCAAATGTAAGGCTTGTACTATACTTGTAGGTTCCACAGCTACAAAATGCCAAGGCCTGTTCATCATGCTTCTGTCGAGTGACTTCCTTTTCAGCTTATTTTCTTCTTAAGGTATATGAGATCGTCTACTAAAGAATGAGGTGAACCTTACGTTAGTATGAAATAAGGAACTGTCTTTTTCGTTATGTTTGTTTGTTTGAGACGGAGTTTCACTCTTGTTGTCCAGGCTGGAGTGCAGTGGTGCGATCTTAGCTTACTGCAACCTCCACCTCCTGGGTTCAAGTGAGTCTCCTGCCTCAGCCTCCCTAGTAGTTGGGATTACAGGTGCTCGCCACCACGCCCAGCTAATTTTTGTATTTTTTAGTAGAGATGGGGTTTTACTATGTTGGCCAGGCTGGTCTCAAACTCCTGACCTCAGATGATCCAGCCACCTCAGCCTCCTAGTGCAAGCATGAGCCACCATGCCCGGTCTGGAACTTTCTTTTTCAAAATCATAATTACAGCAAGATTCCCTCTTCCTCCTCCCCTCTACAGGTAACAGTGGAGGGAGTCGCTATATTGCAGGAGGTGGCGGTACCGGGAGTATTGGAGTTGGACAGCCCTGGCAGTTTGGTGGAGGAATAAACAGTGTCTCTTACTGTAATCAGGGATGTGCTAATTCCTGGCTCGCTGATAAGTTCTGTGACCAAGCATGCAATGTCTTGTCCTGTGGGTTTGATGCTGGTGACTGTGGGCAAGGTATGTTTACTGCCAAACAAACATATTAAGAATAGGAGGATAAAAAATCCTTGACAGGTAGAGAGAGTTTTGAATGGCTTTTGTTATTTTGTTATATAATTATTCTCTGTATATCCCTTTTCCAGCCTTACATTCAAACTGGTTGTAAGTTAAAAGTAAGAGAACAACATAAATCACTAAAGATGATCTTTTCCTGTTATTGTTGCAGTCTGGTTTTTTGTTTTGTTTTGTTTGGACTAAGATTTACCTTAGCTGAAAACATGTGGTGAGATTTTAATTTGGAAACAAAAAAGGATATCAATAATTTATTAAATAAAGATGGCTTGAATATTGCATTTTGTTGATAGCATATTAATGGAGGTTGTTTTGGCAGAAAGTTTTTTTTCAAATGGACAAAAAGATGGAAATTGATTATTGTAATTTATTGTTAAGAATCATGCCATGTTTGTATAGTGAGTCAAGATCACCATTTCATGGTAATTTATTGTGACTGCCTCAGTGAAATGAGGCTTACATCAGTAACTGTTGTATCAGAGTATATGATTATTTTGAAATTAAAGTCACTCTTAGAAAGTGGAAACTCGGTGCTTACTTTGGCAGCACACATACTAAAATTAGAACAGTTTCAGCAGTAGCATGGCCCCTGCACAAGAATGACATGCAAATTGTGAAGTGTTCCCTATTTTTTTTTAAGAAAGTGAAAACTCAGACCTAAAGAATTAAAGGAAAATGGAGGAAAAATGCCTACTTTAAAAAAAATCATTTCTGTTTTTTCCTCTAGATCATTTTCATGAATTGTATAAAGTGACTCTTCTCCCAAACCAGAGTCACTATATTATTCCAAAAGGTGAATGCCTGCCTTATTTCAGCTTTGCAGAAATAGCCAAAAGAGGAGTTGAAGGTGCCTATAGTGACAATCCAATAATTCGACATGCTTCTATTGCCAACAAGTGGAAAACCATCCACCTCATAATGCACAGTGGAATGAATGCCACCACAATACATTTTAATCTCACGTTTCAAAATACAAATGATGAAGAGTTCAAAATCCAGATAACAGTGGAGGTGGACACAAGGGAGGGATCAAAACTGAATTCTACGATTCAGAAGGCTTATGAAAATTTGGTTAGCCCCATAACACACGTTCCAGAGGCGGAAATCCTTTTTGAGGATATTCCCAAAGAAAAACGCTTCCCAAAGTTTAAGAGACATGATGTTAACTCAACAAGGAGATCCCAGGAGGAGGTAAAAATTCCCCTGGTAAATATTTCACTCCTTCCAAAAGAGGCCCAGTTGAGTCTCAATAACTTGGATTTGCAACTGGAACATGGAGACATCACTTTAAAAGGATACAATTTGTCCAAGTCAGCCTTGCTGAGATCATTTCTGATGAACTCACAGCCTGCTAAAGTAAAAAATCAAGCCATAATAACAGATGAAACAAATGACAGTTTGGTAGCTCCACAAGAAAAACAGGTTCATAAAAGCATCTTGCCAAATAGCCTAGGAGTGTCTGAAAGATTACAGAGGTTGACTTTTCCTGCAGTGAGTGTAAAAGTGAATGGTCATGACCAGAGTCAGAATCCACCCCTGGACTTGGAGACCAAAGCAAGATTTGGGTCAGAAACTCATATCCAAAAATCAGGAGGTGGAAATGTGACAAAAGAAAAGCCCTCACCTCTGATTGTTCCACTGGAAAGCCAGATGACAAAAGAAAAGAAAACCATAGAAAAAGAAAAAGAGACCAGAATGGAGGAAAATGCTGAAAACCACTTAGGCGTTATTGAAGTGTTACCTGGAAGAAAGCTGCAGCATTACACAGATAGTTACTTGGGCTTTTTGCCATGGGAGAAACAAAAGTATTTCCAAGATCTTCTTGACGTAAGTTGCATCCAGCCTCATTCTTTCTTATGCTCAGGAAAAGTAAATAATCTTGTAAGTGATAATATCATTATAGCTACTGTTTATCCAGTGCTTCCCTGTGCCAGCCATGGAGCTAAATGGTTTTCTTACATGGTTTCATTTAATTTACCCACTAACCCTAATAATAAAAAATGCCATATGATGGTATTATTGTTATCCCCATTTTGCAGTTTAGGAAACAGCCCAAGTGTGAATGAGTAAGGAATTTAGCCAGGGGCATACTTAAGGGAAGGAGAGCCGGAAGTGGCATGTTGTCTTTACTTGACATTTCAGATCTGGTTATCTTTCCAGCTTTACTCATGAAAAACACCTGAACGTTGAATTAAGTTCATTAGCTTCCCCAACATTACAACAGCAAGTCAGTGTGAACCAAGCCTCAGATTGGAGTGCTCGTCCCCCTGTACTGTAACCTCACTATGCTGTGGTGTCAACTGTACCTCTACTCAGTGCTCTTATGGTGCTTACCACTGGGGAACGCAAGATGACGGGAACATAGCCACTGCTCGTGGAAACTCGGAGACCGGTAGAGAAGACAAATTTGGGGGAGATAACTGTAGCAAAGAGATATGTCTTTGTTGAGGTATGAGCAAGAAGTCCAGAGGGAAGACTGACTCCTTAGCTCTGCCTAAAAATACTAGGGAAGGTATACGGGAGGAAGTGCCCTGTGGACTGACCTTCAAAGGGGTGGGAGTTGACAGACCAAGAGAAAAATCATACAGTTTGGGCTGGGTAGTGAAAGCACACAACCACGAGTGGATGTTGGACTGGGAGAAAAAAGGGTGAAGGAGGAACTATGCCCTCAGCAATTTGGGAAGTATCTTGTGCCTTGCACATGAGGCATTTACAGATTGTATAGTGAAGGACTACAGTGTTCTTGACTATGTTTATTTCCTCAGTTTCCCCCTTAACTTTTTTTAAAAAAATTCACAAAAACATTATAGGCTAGTGGTAAAAACTGAAAGCAATTCAAAAGTGTATGGTAAAAAAAGGAAAGTTCTTCCTTCTTCAGGCTACCTCTTGGAGATAATTGCTGTTAATAGTTTGATAGGTATTCTTCCAGTATTACTCTATACCTATGCAAACATACGTATATGTACATATAGTTATATATATAGAAATATATGTGTAGTATAAATTTACATATATTTCCCTTCAGTTGCCTTTTGATGTAGTACTGTGTGGGCAAACTACCCATGCCATACCATTATTCTTTTGAATAGCTGCAAGTTAGTTATTTCCAATGTTTCATGATTACAAATAGTGTTGCAGTGAATACTCTTGTACATGTATCTTACACTCGAGTGAGTTTTATTTCTCCAGGTAGAACTACTAGGTTAACAGCTATGAACTGTAAATACGTGTTTCTGAAGTGTTGCACCACTTCGTATTTCCACAAACAGGAGTGCTTGTTACATTGCAGTGTAACCAACACCATTTATTATCAGTCTCCTTACATTTTTATCAGCTCAAGAAGCAAAAATATTTCTGTAAAGTGTTTGAATGCTTTGCCAATTTTCTTTGCCTATTTAGTTCTGCCACTTACAGGTTTTGATTTTATAATATTAAAACTATTATATGATGAAACCAAATTCGTTTCTAGTCCATGTGCTTAAAATTCAAGGACTTGCAGATTTGATATCACCTGCAGAAATAGCTTGATATTGAAAGTACCATTAAATTGATATGTAAATAAATTTTCTAAATGTTACATTGAATTGGCTTTGAAATCTCATGGTCAATTGCCAGTCCTTGAAGAATACCCTGTGACTGTTATTATATAGATATCCGTCATACAGCTGTTATTCTCAACCAATATGGGTGATACTTGCACTGAAATCCAGTTTAGTCCTGCTAAATCCAGTTTAGATCCCTAAAGTGACCTATTAACATGCATTTCATTTGCTCCTAATGGAGAGTTAGTGACTAGTTATTACTGCATTATATAAAATGTCTTGTAACGAAGTACACTTGTGCACTAAACATAATGCTGAGTTACATGTGTAATTCTCTCTTCAGGAAGAAGAGTCATTGAAGACACAATTGGCATACTTTACTGATAGCAAAAATACTGGGAGGCAACTAAAAGATACATTTGCAGATTCCCTCAGATATGTAAATAAAATCCTAAATAGCAAGTTTGGATTCACATCGCGGAAAGTCCCCGCTCACATGCCTCACATGATTGACCGGATTGTTATGCAAGAACTGCAAGATATGTAAGTCTTGCTTGTGTTTGAGTTGTTTGCTTGTGTTCAGAACTAAGACTACTTGAAATTTGCATATTTACCATGCTGAATTTGTGGCTCTAATATTTGATGATTAATATTATCTGAATAAGTGGGAAGGAAAAAATCCATCTCTGCAAATGTTAGATATCATACGTACTTTGAATATCCAGAGTTCGTAATATGTTATATTTGGACAGGTTCCCTGAAGAATTTGACAAGACATCATTTCACAAAGTGCGCCATTCTGAGGATATGCAATTTGCCTTCTCTTACTTTTATTATCTCATGAGTGCAGTTCAGCCATTGAATATATCTCAAGTCTTTGATGAAGTTGATACAGACCAATCTGGTGTCTTGTCTGACAGAGAAATCCGAACACTGGCTACCAGAATTCACGAACTGCCATTAAGTTTGCAGGTGTTGTATTGTCTTATTCTAAACTTTTTGACATTTTAAATGAAAATTTTAATTCTGGCTGGGCATGGTGGCTCATGCCTGTAATCCCAGCACTTTGGGAGGCCAAAGCAGGTGGATTGCCTGAGTTCAGGAGTTCGAGACCAGCCTGGGCAACGTGGCAAAACCCTGTCTCTACTGAAAATACAAAAAATCAGCCAGGTGTGGCGCCTGTAATCCCAGCTACTTGGGAGTCTGAGACAAGAGAATCGCTTGAACCCGGGAGGCAGAGGTTGTAGTGAGCCAAGTTTGCACCACTGCACTCCAGCCTGGGTGACAGAGTGAGACTCCATTTCAGACAAAAAAAAAAGAAAGAAAACTTTAATTCTGACTATGCCTCTTTTTCTCCTACGTATTTTAGTTTGTTGCAAATAAAAATAATTCTTAATATTTAATGTGGGTGCTCATAGCTAGTCTGTTTTAGTGCCAGAATTATAACCAAATTTGAGGTTCATATTTTATGAAATTACTTTTTGTAGGTTTTCAGTAAGGATTGATCTTGTATTGTCTGGAGAAGAGCCAGACCATGCCTGCATATGAGATTCTTGTGATACATTCATTCAAGGACTTCAGGCGTGGCTAAATGGAGATTTCAGCCAGGCCCCTTCTCCATGGCATCCTCTAGTCCCAGGAGTAGGAAACTCACTAATGGAAGGTGCCCAGATGAATCTGGCTTCAGGGCATGATTTCTCCTGAGCCCTGGACCACCTCGTTTAAATGGGGATCTCAGAGGCCAGAATGTTCTTTGAGATGAAGATGAAATATTTGTGTCTCATTCTGCCCTTCTTAGAGTGCCTTTATCTTCAGAATCATGTAGTCAAACTCTCTTTGAAGATAGCGTTTAAGCCATTTTTGGAGGCTTTCATGTAATTTTTATTTTTAAAACCACAATCATTACTTACAATGCACATAACAGGTTTATCTTCTTCTTTTTCTTTGTTAGGATTTGACAGGTCTGGAACACATGCTAATAAATTGCTCAAAAATGCTTCCTGCTGATATCACTCAGCTAAATAATATTCCACCAACTCAGGAAGCATATTATGATCCCAATCTGGTAAGTGGAATGGGTTACTTTTACAT